AACTCCTCATCTGCCCTCCAAGATTTGTGCTTCCTCCAGAGTCTGAGCACAACAAAGTGGGGGGGAGGGCAGGGGAGACACATTCCCAACATGTATGATGTCCTACTTTCAACTGCTCTATTTCCAGCTCCGAAATGGCCTGTGGTTCTGTGTGGAGAAATCTTTAACATGGGATCTGAGAAGGAAAAATGCAGTCAGTAATTCTCTAAGGGATATCGAATGATCGAGAGGAAGTCAGTTCGCTTCTGTCTCTAACTTTCAAAGAAATTAGAGCCTGCTAAAAAACATAGTGGTGCACATTTAGGAGTCTCTGTACATAAATCCTTGTTTTTCCTTCATCCCTCAATGACTTATTGTTTTCTTAACACATCTCATTTTGTGTTCCTATGGGTGCCATCCAGGAAGCCTTGTGAATATCAGGCTGGAACCAGCTGAAATGCAATTGCTTATACAAAATCTGAAGTGCTCAACTCATTCAACTCCAGAGGCATGCAAGAGAAACATCCCAGACCTAACGTACAAGGCACACAGCGGCCAAGTTGCCTGTCACAGTTCTACAAGCAACTTGACATATTTTCCTCCTCAGGAAAATGCATGCCACTTGTCATGAAATTCGGGCTGCAGTTTTGCTAGACCTGGTATCATCTGTCTATAGAGTTACATGTTTAAATATAATTTGTGATCACACTAGTCGAGAACAGGGGATGAATGAGTGAAGAGTATAAATATACATTAGGGTTTAGCCTAATGCTGTGTAAGCCTGTGGCAAGGTGGTATTCCCTAGTTCCCAGCCTCCCACCTTCTCCCTGACCAGCATCTTCTTAAGGCCATTTAAGTCAATAACATGGGCTGTGAAGTCTCCACTCATAGTACAAATTGACTGTGTGTTCTGAGAGTCAAAGCTACAGCAAAAGAGGAGGTGTGCAGCTATTTTCACCCAAGCACAGAGCATAGGCGTATTAGTAAAAATTCTCATACAGCTTTTTTGTAAAATGAAGTGTAATGTGCCCAAAGTCCACAAACCAAGACCTTATTAGAATTATTTAACTTACTTTTCCCCAGGAGCAGGAATGAAAAAAAATGAATACTAACCTTTCTTAACACAATTTGCCAGTATGGACCAAGTCAGAAAACTGTCTTCTCTACGGCAAGGAGGTCTGTGCGAAATAATCAGGAGTGTGCACAAAGATTTAAATATGAAGATGCTTCCCAAGAGTATTTATAATAGGGAAAATTTGGGGGAAAACCCTAGGTGTTTCACAATAAGAAAAGAGTTAAGGGGGTGGGGGTGTAGCTCAGTGGTAGAGTGTTTACCTAGCACATTCAAGGCCGGCCCTGCACTAGACCCTATCTGAAAAATAACTAAAACCAAAAAAAAAGTTAGGTGTGTGGCTCAAGTGTGAGGCCTACCACGTATGAGGCCCTGAGTGCTGTCAAAATAAAATAAACAAATGAAATAAAATAAAGTTGCATATAATCTCTCCGTATAAAGAACATTATGTAGTCACTGAAAAGCAAATGTCAGAAAAAATTTAATACTAATACACTCAAAATGAAAAGCAGTCAAGAATTAAAAGTTGAAAATTAAATAATATCTATCTATATACATAGTACTATGATCCTGATAATATAATATTTATGCACAGAATAAATACTGAACGAAAATACAGTGAATTATACTGGTAGTTATTGCTGAGTGATGCTGAATCTAAATCGATCATTATATTTGTCTGCATTTTCCACAGTGTCTACAATGACCTTGTATTAGTTTTATAATCTAAAAAATAAAAACACAAAGTAAGGAAATCAGGCTCACACAAAGCAGGAGCGCAAAGCATGAACCTGACGTAACTGTGGTCTCAGAGGGACTCTGTAGTTATGTAACTTTTCATTGGTTTTTCCTGGGGATCAAACCCAAGGCTTCATGCAAGCCAGACAAGCACTCCACCACCGAGTTACACCCCAGCCTAGGCACGTAGCTTTTAAAAGAGAGAGCTCTACATCAGTCCCACCCCAGCAACTCCAAAGACCTCAACGCTGAGGAAAACGCCCTGCCAGCCTGTATGAGCTTTGACTGTAAACTTCTCAAGGTCTCCTCACACACCCAGGGCACATTCTCCACAGACAGAGGCTTATAAAGTTCCTCGGTAAGTCGAAGTATTCATCCGCCTGTCCCCATAAAATGTGACCTTGCAAGTCCATGTCAGTGGAATCCGAAAGAGGGACAGAGGGCCCCAGGTAACATAATGCGCCCAGAACACGTCTGCAGCTCTGACAGGTGCAAACAACTCCACTGTCTAAATATAAATCAACTTGGGCAGTTTAGAAACAGCCTTTCCCACTTTCCATTCTGATGCAGCAAAAGAATGTTCTCTTCTTTACTTCTGACTCTTCATGCTGGCTATTTTTATTTAGAGTCTTTTTTTGCAATAACCTTTATTTGAAGAAAAGCAATGCTAGAACTTTAAAACAGATATTGTCTTCCAAAATCTTAGATGAGATTTTTGAAATGCATTAAGTTGAGGTGATTAACACATGAACAGTATTCTTAAAACTTTCTGGATGAGCAGAAAGCTGAGTCTAATATTTAAACCACCAAGTGACCTAATTTTTAATCAGCAGAGTGGAAATTCTAGAGCAGACTCTAGAATTCTGTGTCTCTGCCAGTTTCTGCCTTGCTCTCTCCAATCATCCCTCAACTCCACCTCCCTCCTCAAGTTCCTGCTCAGTGGCCACTTCTCAGAGAGACTTCTCTGACCTTCCCCACTCCCCACCCCCATCCCCTGCTGCCCCATACACCCCCAGGCATCCTCTTAGTTCCCTAGACATAAGAGATTTACCTTCCTTCCTTTCATTCCACATCATTACTTATTAGCCTACGAGTTTAGTTGGAGGTAAGATTGTATGTATTTCCTCACTTTTTCCATTACCACCATCCAAACTCATGGTGGCTACCAATGAAGTACTGTTGAATGATTGGATGGATGGATGGATGGATGGATTGATGGATGGATATGAGAGGACTGAAACGGTCAGATGAGCTTAGGTGCAAGGAAGAAGGAAGGCAGTGCTACTCCTGACAGCCTTGAAAAAGAACAGTTTATGAAAGAAGAATAATTAGCTATGCTTAGCCACTGCTTAGTCTTTTGGTTTATTTTTCTGGGGAGTGTTTTTTTTTTAATAAGTGAAATTAAGTCTAAAATCAATGCCAGATATTTTTAAAGGAGCTTGGTGTGCATTCACTAAAGGGTTGAAATTTTCCACGTTCACTTTCCCTCTTTGTTGCCATGTAATGAGAGAATGGGCCAGGCTAGCTCTCTGGTTCTGGGTCTCTGGACCTGCTGTCTTCTACTGGAACAGTCTCCCTGCGCTTGCATCCCAACTCTATTCTGATCGCAAAAAAAGACTGGGCTCTTTTCAAACTCATAGACATCACACTCCTACCTACCAAGACTGTGGTGTGCCACAACTAAGTTTAGCCCCACTCTCCTGGTCTGAAATAGTCATCTAAACCACACAGGAAATTATTACCCATGGTTTCCTAGATCTATGGAGGAAAGACACTTTCAAACCCTAATGCTATAAAGTTCCATTTACTTGTCCCAACTCCTTCCCAGTGTGGGTCAGATCACCCTTTGCCTGCATGCATTTTGCAATACCTGTTGGCTCTTTATTTTGCCCACTCTTCTAGCATGCTCACTATACTTGAGAAATGCAGCCAGCACTTGGCTTAATACACCTTCAGCCTACTCATCAGCTCACAAAAAGGGGGTTAGAGTTGGCAGAGGGAGTACGCCAACCGCCTACCAACAGCAAGTTTCACAGGTGGTCCTTTACCAAATTTGCCCATCGAAAGGAAGTGAGAGCACTAATGATCACCATTTACCTTTCAGACGGGGAGGCTCTACAGAACTTAAGGCTTGAATTGGATTATCATAACCCATTGGTGTTTTAGTCTTGCATACCTAGTAAAATTGGAAGCTACTCTTATATTAGAGTAGAAATTCCCAAATGCCATTTTCAACATAATGAATCTTCATAAAACTAAATATATTGAATGTGAGGGACTAAGAATATGTCCTTCCTGTATTTTGTTGTTCTTGTTATTAAAGAGTACTTAAATAGAAAAGATGTCAGGATCTGTTTATTTTAGTGTGTTTACTCTGCACTTCAAAAAGTTGGCAACCCTGTATCAATTAACAACATTCTAAAATTTCACTGGTCATTAAAACTTGAAAATTAGGAGCCTTCTTTCTAAAGTGGCTAGCTCAGATCCACTGGTAGATAAGATGATCTCCCAGGACAGGAGGGCCTCTGGCTCAAACTGTACTGGTTCCGACTACTCTGATGGACTTCCAGGTGAATCGAAAAGAACAGAGAGGTCCTGAACATCCGAGCAGTTATTATAATAGATTTAAGTCAAGTGAGCTCTAAAATATACCCACCTGAGAATCCTAGAGTACTGCGTGCAACAGGCGATAGGCCTCTGCCCCGCCCCCCCCATCAACATTTTCGGGATTTTGCTGTGTATTTTTCTTCCAAAGTAACACCTGGACATGGTAGGCACAAATCAAGGTTCAGAAATTTGGGACACTAGAAACACACTTGATGTCTGCCTGCCCCTCGGGGCTCCGTGAATGGTGTGGAGGTCAAGGTCTTCTGCTTACGGGCTGCAGTATCCAATGAGTGCCTTGGAGGTCAGGATTCTGTTTCGGAAGGGGAAATTTTGCATGCTGTCTGCACTCAGCCGGCTCACTAAACCATGCGTTCTTGGGTAGGCAATCACCTCTATCCACCCTCTGGCACCCGTCCTCCGGCTCCTGATGAAACGGTGCCCCACCGCCCTCTTCCCAGACCCTGGACTCCAGCCGGGTCACTCCCCGCACGCTGCGCGTCACGTGGCGGAGCGGTGCTCTCCCCAGCCGCCGCTATTGGTCGGTGGCTCAGGTCCCGGCGGCGCCCATTGGCTGCGGAGGGCCATTCACGTGAAAGAGGCTCTGGGACGGGACCCCGAGTGGGGAGAGGTGTCTGGAAAGTTAAAGGGTGTCAGCGCGGCCGCGAGAGCGCGAGTCCTGGGTGACCGGCCGAGGGAAAGGCGAGCGGGACGCTTTAGCGCGCGGACGGAGACCGCTACTGGCTGAGGGCCCGGAGCTGAGCCCCAGTCCCTGCTGTCGTGACGCTGTCACTGTCACCCTCCACGCGGATGGTGCGCCGGGCTGGCGCGTCTGCCCTCGGGAGTTATGAGTTGTACGGGGTACGTATCTCCCCAAGTTTCGATCCCAGGTTCAGAGGCAATGCACCCGCGGCAAGGGGCGCACGGCGGAGCCCCCTTTTGCGCCCCCCTCCTACACTTCCACCGCCCCACTTGCAGTTACACGCCGGTGATGGAACACGATAGAGGGGTTCGAGTAAACTGTGGCTTCCACGTGGAGGGGCGATCTAGGCACCAGAGCTGGACCTTCATGACCCCCGGAGCTGCGGGCCCGGGATTTGGGGCTGGTACAGCAGACACCCTTGAGCCCTGTTGTCCCGGGTTCGAAAGTGGCACAAAGTTTCCAACCTGGGACCTGAGACTTTTAGAAGTTGTCTACGGAATTGGGCGGTGGGGTCTGAAGCACAAGGACAAGTCGGCTGCCTCTCTTTGAGGCTCGGTTTCCTGATAAAAGACCCCTCCAGACCTTAAATGCTATAAAGTTGAGTTTACTTCTCCTAGCTCCTTCCTGGTTTGATTCAGACCACTGTTTGCTGCATTCAAGAAGGGGACACACTTGGTAGTCTGGGACAGGGACCGTCCGGGCCAGTGTGGTGAGGCGGCCCGCGTGGGGGTGCTCTTGTGGCGCGGCGCGCTAGGGACCCGGTGGCCCCGCCGCCCCGCCCCGTCCTGGTGTGATAACTTGGGCTCCTCCCCCTTGTCGTCTTCATCTCCGGGAACGCAGCCCAGGCCCTGCCTCCCGGACACACCGACGCTCACGTAGTCGGGTGGCAGCGGCCGCCTTGCCACCTCTCTCGGGGCTCTCGGATGCGGCCAGCGAGCTGGGGCGGGGGCTTGTCCGCCTCCCGAAAGGTGGGTGCAGCGGAGAGGAGGGGGACGGGGTGCAGCTCCGGGCCTGTGGGACGGAGGAGGGCAGGGGCCCGGCGGGATCCTATAACCTGGACGCACCGGCCTGTCTTGGTACCCAGCTCATGCCACCCTTTAGAGCCCAGAGAAAGAGGTGTGGGCAAGACTACCTGCAAAGGAAGGAAGGGGTGAGGATCCAGAACGAAATACGACAGGGTTCTAGGATTCGGAGGCTGGCGAGGTATTGCTGTCTGAAAAAAGCTGTGGAAACACTTGGGAACTTGGGAGAGTTGTTGAAAGGTGGCCGTGGCCACGCCTGTGGTCTTTGTGGCCAGTTTTCCTGAGAGACCCAGGGTCCAGGAGAAGAGTCAGGACTTCAGCTTGAGGGGGAAGAGAAGAGGAAATGGTTCGCTTGGCAGAGTTGTTCAGGAGCCAAGACTAAAGTGGAGACAGCTGGAGGACTTACCACAAAAGTAGAGGTGAGGTATTTGGGGGAAAGCTGGTGGAAGAGAAGAACCTTCCGTGTTGTTAGCAACTTGGAATGTCAGACGTAGGAGGGACTTCAGAGGAGAATCCTCAAGCTCAGAGAAGTTGAGTGAGTGGCCCAAGTAGCACAGCCAGGTGGAGAAATTCTTAGGTCAGTGCTGTTTACCCTGTCATTTTTAGGTGGCAGGGGCTGTGACATTTTAACTTACCTCTTTCCTTGTGATGCAGCCTAATTCACAAATACTTATCCCCAAGTCACTTTGGATGACAGAATGAAGTTACAAGTAACTTTTAAGGTTCTCATGGTCTGCAAAGGAAAGAAAGATCATCTTTACATGGTATCAGGCAGACCTCTTAGAGGGAATAAAAGGGTTGTGTGTCGATGACCTAATTGTGAATGTTTAATGTAATTTGGCAGTTTTCATTGTTGTTGGTGGGTTCCTGTGTGTCTGATTGTTTGGTTGTTGTTTTGGTTTTTTTGGTGATACTGGAGTTTGAACTCAGGACTTCACAGTTGCTAGGTAGGCAGGTACTCTACCACTTGTGTGTCTTATTTTTCTGTCTTAATGTCAGAGAGAGAGGGAAGGAGAAAGAGGGAAGAGAGAGAAGAGAGTGAGAGAATATGAAGGGAAAATGTTTTGGTCCCAATACAAAAACAAAACAAAAACTGCTTCCTATAAAAAGCATAGCCAGAAAGAGTAGCTCAGCTACCTGAAACTAGGAGGGTCATGGTGTTATTTTCTGTGCAGATCTACCATTTTCATAAGAAAAATCACCATGAAGTCTCAGCCTCAAGCCAGATGTCTTGAGAAAGTGTTCTTTGTCACTAGTGGATCAGAAAAGGCACTTCTGCACAACTATCCATGTGCGCTCCAATTTGGAGTTTGCGCAGTTGGGCCAGAAATCCACCCTGGGGCATGGCCCAGTCCCTCATCCGGCAAGGTTGACCTCTGAGATATCCATTTGGGAGCAGAGTATTTGAGATCTCACTAGCCTGGGGGAACGGCCACTCATGCTCCCACGGTCCTGTCCTGCAGCTGGTGTCCAGATTGCGTGTCACACTCTGCAGGGTCAATGTGCATCTACCCATTGACTCTGCTTTTTACACTGGGATTAGAGCAGCCTGAGAGTCTGTAGAGAGAAGAGGCCTGAGATTCAGCCTGGACTGTCTCCTGGGTGGAAGCGATCATTTTCATGTCATTTGCACATGAAGCACCTGCCTGGCTGCTTTCTTTTCAGGGACTTAAGAAAGTATTGCCTTGCATATCTGAGTTGGTTGGAGTGTTTCTGGGTGGTCCTCATTCTCTGTTGGGGACTTCCTGAGCAGAAGTTCAGGAAAACCTACCCCAAACCAGCACCTTGGTGCCCTGACTCAAGGGAATATACAACTTAACAAAAGCTGGAATCTACTGTGAGGACCAGCAAGGTGGCTGACTGTTGACTGAGGCAGCAGGGGTGAATGTCCTCACCTGTAGGTATGGTGACACACAGAAGTAGTGAAGGGATTTGGGTCAGGGTTACTTGTGCAATTCCCTGGGCAGTAGTCCCATGGTAACTCTTGGGCTATCATAATCTTTCATGGAAGAATTTTGCAAAAAGTTTGGCTCTTGACAATGCTAGCAAAATCGTTTAATTAACTCTGGCTCTGACTAGAAGCTCACCTCCCCACCTGTTTCGCTTGTCTCAGGGACATTCACACCAGTGGGATCCAACAGTGCAAATTTGTCAAGATCCTTCAACCTGCAGGATCAGAAATTGGGTGAGGGCTTCAGGGGGCTGCAAGAGTGCAGTGTTTAATTGATCCCTTTGCTCTGGAGCTCTGTTTTCCACAGTATCATGAGAGTTTCTCAACTTGTCTCTAATGAGCTACTTGAAAGATGAGCAGGAAAGTGTGAGGTTGGTCTATGCACTTGGTAGAGGCCCAGAGAGAACTTACAAGTTGACCTTGTGCTGACTCAGGCCAGAAGGATGCGTGGCAGGGGAAAAACCTTTACTCCCTAGATTGCACCCAGTGTTTCAAGGGTGGGCAACTCTGGGATGCAGGGCATGGGCTGTGTGATTGATTGGCTGTTTGGGCTTAACAAACACAAAACAAGAAATTCCTGTTTTAAAGTTAGAGCTGAGGTAAAGCTCCAATAAATTCTAACAAAATTTTGTAATGGGCAGTTGGAACTAAAATTCAAGAAAATTTTAAGTATGGAGCCTTTTTTTTTTTTTTCAACATTAGTCAACCCACTGATCCTCTCTGAAGCCATCTTGTCCAATTCAGTCAGAATTTTCCTTTCCAGAACAGTTACACGGGTGAAAGAACAGAAAATAGCAAGCAGATTTGCCCCAAAGTTTTTCACTAAGTTGACTTTGTTAGAGGAGAAACAATAAGGCATTAAATATCCTTTCAAACAAATGTTTGCTTAACTGCATATAGCTGTAAGTTATTGTTTTGTCTCTGAATTTGTGTGTTTCTCCAACTGGTCATGGCCAAGTGCTTCTTGCATCCAAAGAAAGTGCTCTACTTTTCGAAAAAATGGAACCAAATCTAACATGTCTTTGTCCTTTCTCATTTTTTATTATAATTTCATTAACCAGAATCAGAAGTTGAAAATGATTTATTGAGCCAAACCAGTTGTCCCCCAGTCTTGTCAAAAGATGAGCAACATTTTGGCTGTCCTTTCTCAAAAGCAGCAGTGGTGACCTGAGAGTAGACACCCCAATGTACCACCGCATATCTGAGCCCATCCCATATCTACACCTTTGCATTAAGAAGGGAGGAGTGATGGGGAACTAGTTCAGATCCTGTGTTCTGTATCCTCAGATTTGAGATCTGAGTCCTGTTTTGTTACTCACTTCTTCAATTTAGCCTGTTGTAACTATCAAATCACATAAATCGGCCACAGTAATCAGACTGATAAAAGGTACTCAACTTTGGTGAGGCAATAACATCAGGGTAGGGGTTTGATAATTTTTAAAATAGTTGAATTTTTAAGATTCATTTTTTTCTGACTATAGAAGTATTGTTTTAGAAAGTATAAAAAAAATACAAAGCAGGAAAATAAATTTCCTGAGATCTTGTCACCTGGATATTCTGACAGTTTTAACTAGACAAGCACCTCCTCATCTCCAGGGGATACATCCAAGACTCTTGTGAGTGTCTGAAAGCTCTGGTGGTATAGAACCCTGTGTGTACTGTGCTTTCCCTGTGTGCCCTGCAGCCGTGTTACATCTGTCCTTCTCTGCTGTATGCTCAGGTGCATCCTTTGGGTCACCACTCTTGTGCTCTGGGTCATTCTAAGTAAAACAAGGGTAACTTGAATATGAGCACCATGATATTACCACAGCCCACTTGATACCAGAAATGCTCCTGAGTTTCTAGGGCAGATAGCATATATATTGTGATATGCTGACCAAGGGGTCATGGATATCCCGGATGAAGGGATGATTCAGGGCCTGGGAAGAAGAGGAACTGAGCAGGATGCCGTAAGATTCTTTCACACTACTTGGAATGGTTTACAACTTAAAACTTGTGCATTGTTTACTTTAAAAATTTCTCATTTAATATTTTTGGACCCATTTAATATTTTTGACCACAGGGAGCTAAAACCAGGGAGACCAAAACCTTGGATAAAGGAGGACCTCTGTATCTCAGTCTTTTTTCTACATGTCTGTAACATTTTCTCCTTACAGGTCTGGTCTTCAGGTACAACTTTATCGTCTCCATTTTTTACGCTAACAATATATTTAAAACATTCCTATTCCATTTAAATATTTTCAAAAGAATGATTTTAATGATGACATAAGATTGATTTAACCAGGTAACTGTCAGTGGTCACTCTTGTTCTCATTATTTTCCTCCTCTCTTCTTCCACTGAACATTTTAGTACATTAGCTTCCTGCACTTTAATTATTTACTTAGGATGAATAACTATGTGATATTGGAACAAAAATAATAGCACTTAGATTGTGCCAATTTAGGCTAATAAAAATATTCTTATTATCTTTTACAATTCTTTCCTAACTTAACAGGCAAAATAAGTACCATTTAGGCTTTAATTTCTTAAATTAACTTTAAGACTAGACATGTTGCATATTTATGGTCCACTTTTAAATTTTTCACAAATTTTCTATTAATGTTCTTGCCTCATTTTTTGTTTGACTGTTATTGCTTTGTAAAAAATCTTTATATATTAGAGTATTAACTCTTTTCTGTCATGCTTTTTGTAAAATATTTTCCCAGTTTGTCTTTAATCTTTTTTGGTTTTTTTTTTTTACTTCTAGAAAAGCATAATTTATGAGAATTCAAATTTAACCTTTATTTAGCATGATTCTATTTACTTTTTATTCTTGCAGCAACTTTTTTTCGCTTGTATACAAAACAAATGATCGCCCCAGGTAAAATAGTTTAAAAATGCTAAATTGCTGGTTCTTTTTAAAAAGAAAACTATGCTGGAACATAAAAACCTACCATAAGTTTAATGAAAACAAATTTTTGTCTGTCTTTACTACTGAATTCCAGTGTCTAGCATAAGGGCTGGCTATAGTAAACACCAAATCAATGTTTGGGTGATGAATTCATGTCTTTTTATTGGATTAATGCAGTATTTATGATTAAAGCTACAATGTGATATCACCTCGTACCTGTTAAAATGATTATTTTTAAAAAGATGAAAGATAACAAGTGTCAAAGAGAATGAAAACAAGGGACTCTTACACACTCTTGGTGGAAGTGTAAATTAATACAGCCATTACAAAAAATGGTGTGGAGTTTCTTCAAAAAATTAAAAATAAAATTTCCATTGACCCAATAATCCCATTATAAGGTACATATTCCCCCTCCCTTTTTGGTTTCTTTTTTTTTTTGCAGTACTGGGGTTTGAACTTAAGGCCTCGTGCTTGCCAGGAACCTTGTCTTCCTAAGTAGGGGCTCTACCACTTAAGTAGACACACCTCCAGCTACGCAGGGTGTATATTCAAAGGATACACATCAGTATGGTGAAGAGATAGTTGTACTCCTATGTTCACTGTGGCATCATTCACAATAGCTGAGGTATGGAATCAACCTAGGTATCCATCAACGAACAAGTAGATGAAGAAAATGTGGTACATATACACAATGCAGTATTGCTCGGCCACAGAGAAGAATGAAATCTTGTCATCTGCGTAAGTCTGGAGGACAGTGTGTGCAGTGAGCTAGGTACAGAAAATGAGTGCCGGATATCCTCACTTCCACGTGCAATCCAAACAGGTTGATCTCACTGAAACAGATAGTAGAATGGTGGCTACCAGGGCCTGCACACTGAAGGACCAGGGAGATGTGATCAAAGAGTCCCCTAGGAGGAAAAAATTCAAGAGGGCCATTGTACATTTAGGAGCTCCAATGTGCATTGTACGTTGTACATGTGATTATAGTTAATGACAATACATTGTATACTTTCAAATGGCTCAGACAGTAGATTTAAGTGTTCTCGCTCCTTTAACATAATTCAGATTGCTTTAGACATTCCGCAACATATATATAGCAACATATCAAGTTCAGGTTGTACACCATAAATATATATGACTTTTCCTTGTCAATCAATAATAGATAGCAGTGTTTACCAAAGTGTGCAACTCAGGCCAGCTGTTTGTGGAATGTACTCCACCAAAAAAGGTATTCTTTAGTCAAATAAGTTTGAGAAATTCTGTAAATAATGTGCCTTTTTCTTTATCCTCCATGGCATGTGAGCATACTGAAGGGCCTAAGACATTCTGACAGGAAAACCTGTGAATTCATTTTGAAACTAGGAATTCCATACTTTTTTGATTGTTTGTTTCAATCTCAGACACGCTTGCCTCCTCCCTGCACATTCACTTAATTTCCCCTGAAACCTGTGTCCTGTGAGACCACACTGGGGTTAACACTGGACAGTAACCACGTGGGCCCGGATAAAAGGGAACACTGTTTGCCAAGTCTCTGCTGGAATGAACGTTTAAACATGTATCTGATCTCGTCACTGTTTTTTTATCTCCTCCCCTTTTGTCAGGATTCTAGCCTATCCGTCTAACCCCATGATGGCTGTGGACATAGAATACAGATACAGCAGCATGGCCCCTTCATTGCGCCGAGAGCGGTTCGCCTTCAAGATCGCACCAAAGCTGAGCAAGCCACTGAGGCCCTGTATTCAGCTGGGCAGCAAGAAGGAAGCCAGTGGAGTGGTGGCTCCAACGGCCCAGGAGAAAAAGGTGAAAAAGCGAGTGTCCTTCGCGGACAACCAAGGGCTGGCCCTGACAATGGTCAAAGTGTTCTCAGAATTTGATGACCCATTAGATATTCCATTTAACATCACTGAGCTCCTAGACAACCTTATGAGTCTGACGACAGCAGAGAGCGAGAGCTTTGTTTTGGATTTTTCACAGCCTTCTGCAGATTACTTAGACTTCAGAGATCGACTTCAGGCCAGCCATGTCTGTCTTGAAAACTGTGTGCTAAAGGACAAAGCCATCTCGGGCACTGTGAAGGTTCAGAACCTTGCGTTTGAGAAGATCGTGAAAATAAGAATGACATTTGACACTTGGAAAAGCTTCACAGACTTTCCTTGTCAGTATGTGAAGGACACTTATGCTGGGTCAGACAAGGACACATTCTCCTTTGACATCAGCTTACCTGAGAAAATTCAGTCTTACGAAAGAATAGAGTTTGCTGTGTGCTACGAGTGTAATGGCCAGGCGTACTGGGACAGCAACAAAGGCAAAAACTACAGGATCATCCGGGCTGAACTAAAATCTACTCAGGGAACCGTCGAGCCCCCAAATGGACAAGATTTTGGAATATCCTTTGACCAGTTTGGAAGCCCTCGATGCTCCTATGGTCTGTTTCCTGAATGGCCTAGTTACTTAGGATATGAAAAGCTAGGACCCTACTATTAGGACTACAGTTGACAGGTTGTGACTTTGTCACGATGGAATGGAGAAGCCAAGAGAAGAGCAAAGTTGAACTGCCATTAGGCCCAGTTTTTGGAAAGAAAGGATCTTGTTCACTTTTCTTTGAAACCAACAAATCCAACCAGGCATAGATCCCAGAACTGGTTTCTCACTGAAAAGAGGAGGTGCACTGGTCCATTGTGGCACCCTGGTGGCCACAAGGGCATGGAGCAGGATGATACAGAAGGGTCTGGAGAGGAACTAAGCCTGCAGGCAGTGCTGGCAATGCTGGAAAGCCTGGCCTCTCCTCTGCAGCCGGATGTGGAAAGTCAGTCACCTTAGAGAACCCTCAACTTTGGGTGTTCTCCACCAGCCGCCCTTTCCTTTGTGGTGCTGCTGTCCCATGAATACTGAGAGCCACCCTTTATCTCTGGGCTGTGACACACTGATGTTGCACATTTCTGTTATAGCTTCAAGAGAGATGGGATCTGCTCCTTTTTATGCAAGTTCATTTGTTTTGCATTTCATTTTCTTCCACAGTTCATCCGATGTTCAAGCAAAGATAATAAAGGCAACTAAATAGCCTGTGACTGAGACAGGCATTTCCTCTCGCCTCCTCCTGACCCCATGTTTATCTTCCAGCATTGGAAAGTCACCGGTTCCTGTGTGGGGTCACAGATTGGAGGGTTATAAGCAGACAGGGCAGTCAGGAGTTGTAGCTTTTCCTCTTGGCTTTTGGTGGAGCTTTCTAAGCACTCACTCTCACCCCAAGTCACCAGAAGTCTCAATGACAAGATTTGTTTTCACTTGCTTGGCTGGTTTGCAGGCCTCTTCTTTATGAAAGAATTGTAGCTCTTCTTTCGGGGAGAGTCTTCCAAGCTGTGTTAAGGACATTTGTTTTGCAGATCCGGCAGATCCTCGAAGCCTTCAGAAATGCTTACTTTTATTTTGCCTGTGCTACACAATGTTCAGGACACTTTACAAGCAGCTAGAGACATTGATTTGGGTGTTTTTATTTATGGTGTGTGAGTATGTAAAAGGACATGGGATAAAAACCTCACCAAGTTCTCATATGTTATTTTAAATGTTTGCCAACTCTGAAATACCAGAAATTAATTGTTCTTAACCATATTGGACTAAAATGTGTTGGTGAATGCTAGTGTGAAACTCCCAGGACATTCACTGTTGGATGGATTCCCCCAAACCTGTGATTTTCTTGGGCAAGATTGGTTTTTACTTAGGGGGTATTTGAAAAATATTTTTCATGTATAACTATAGAATTTTTTCTATTTTTTTGTTTGTTTGTTTGGAGTTTGGTTAAATGACTGATTTTAATTCTCTTTTTGCCTGATCTTAATAAAGTTAGGTTTTCCTAAGGCATATGGGAAAAAGGAGTGCATAGTTGCCTGAATTCAAAGGTACACATGGCTGCTGGATTTGCCAAGCAAAGAATCTTGTGCTTGAATTTTCCAGATTAATTAGAAAAGATCTCCTTGTTCTGTGGCTTTGTACCTTAGTGTCAGGCAGGTATTGAGTGCCTTGGCTCATCGAGTTATGTGGTTGGGGTTTATTTTTATTTTTTTCTTTTTGAATTTTAAAATGTTTTGACTTTTTAAATACTAAGTGGTATTTGTTGTAATTCTTATTCCTTAAACTGGCTGTTACTAGTCTGCAATCTAGTGCTTTGTTTTTTTGTGCCTGTCCTGGGTGGCTAGCACTCTGGGATTACATGATACATGGGTAGATCATATTTGTATCTTATGCTGAAATTGGGCAGGGCTGTGCTTTATCTAAGCATACCATAAGTACACAGACAGAGTGGGTGATCAGAACTAGTAATAGCATAAATCTAAATCAGATGGAAGCAAATTGATCTGATGTGGGTTGTGGATTTAATTTTGTATGAATTTCCTCTCCAATGCAGGAAAGCAAGAGGGTACAGTTACTTGCAGGTCATCAGACTAAGGATCATTCTGTATTCAGAAGAAAATGGGACTCAAGTGATTTTAAAATAAAGTCTGTAAAAATGATCCCCAGACATTCCCAGGTCAAAATTTGAAATATGGTAATTGAATGATAAGTATCTCTTATAAAATACCCGTAAGCCCTCCCCCTCCCCTTTTTTCTCCCAGCTCACCGCAGCTTTCTTGCTTGGGGCACTGGAGGCAAGCCCCCAGCCGGCACACCTGGGGTGTGCACATATCCCCAGCTCAGCTACAAAGGCAAGTCCCCTCCTGCTTTCAGAGGTCCTTGTCCCTGATCAAAGAGTATGCTTGCCTGATTTCCCTGAAGTCTGTCATCCACTGAGGATCAGAAGAGTCTTCTGTTTATCCCTCTCTCTTCTCCTGACACAGCCCTCCTCCCTCTGGCCTAGTCTGCCCCATGATTCTCCCAGCCTGAGAAACTGCCCTGATGGACTCCCCACCCTTATCTCAGAGCTCCCCATCATGGACAAGCCCACACACTTGGGAGGGGAGGCACCCTCCTTTGCTGGGGACTTCACTGGCCTGACCTGTCGCTTTGCCATCATGTGCCTTTTCGTTATGGTGATGAATGGCCCCCATTCATGGCGTCCTTCCCTTATTGCTCAGAAGGACCAACACCTGTTCGGTGCTGTTCTCCAGAACTGTGTTGCCAGATCTGGGGTCCACAAATGGGAGAGCAACTCCATTTTCTTTTCATATTTATTTCCCAAAATGCCCTGAAGTGCTTTTGCAAATAAGGTGCACTAAATAAGCTGGACTACATAAAGATATATAATAAATAAGCTTTCAATGTTTCTTGGAAGATAAGAAGCATGGAATGGGTTTTTGAAAGTGTTATTATAGGAGAGCCAGTGAGAAGTGATGGAGCCCTGTAGTTCTCCAGAAATTGAAAGAATCTGAGTCATTGGTGGAATTTATTTTTATCTCTAAGATTTAATTTTAATGGGGATAAAACATGATACATTTTTAAAGACATAATTTTGAATTGCTTTGTGTTATTCGATCTTTGCATATTATTTGCTTTTTAAGAACAAGCATTACGTGTCATCTTGATGTCAAATGGGCAAAATACATGCTTTCTTTTAGAAGGGCCCATATCAAGGGTCTTCCGTCTAGATGGACAGTGACCAAAACCTTGATGATCTTTCATTCATTTCTGTTTTTTAAGTCCCCCCACTAGATACAGGCCTGTGGCCCTTTGTTCTGAGGGGTCTGGATCTAGTCATATGTCCTAAAATTGGAGATACAAAGTTACACATATAATGAGATCCTTCATGGGATCTTATAGGATTACCCTAAAACATTATGGCAGCTTATCTTAATTTCCTGAAGTGGGACAATAGGACACCTCAGGAACAGGCAGTATTTCCTGGCGGTGGTTGTAAGGTATTGTGTCCCAAGTTGCAAAACTGAGAATTTTCTTCCAGTTTTGTTGATTGGTTCTAGAGACACCTGGGCCAGTGAGGACTTGAGAATTCAGCTATGAAAATGTCTCACTTTTACTTTGATGTGAATGTAGAAACCAGGACTTGTCTTCTTTTTATACCTAAAAGTGCCTATCAAGAAATTCCTGCATGTTTTTAAGAAATAAATATTTTTGTACACAAAGTTAAAGGGGAAATGCACTTTAAAATCACAAGAATAGATGTTTTGTGTGTGGTATAAGAGAGTGGTTTGTTTGTATCTATCTCAAAAGCAAAAATGTAATAAAGATAGAAACAACAAAACTGAAACTGTCCCTCTATTCTTAGAGCCAGAGGAAAAGAGCAATATTTTAAGTCAATGGGTTTCCACATACACATCTTGGGTTTCCAAAAGTATAGATCTCAACAGTGGCTGCTATAAAGCCATTAAGGCACAGAGGTAGGGAAGGGGGGTCATTATGTTTTAAGCTGTCTGGACAGTGAAGACCAGTCATAGCTGAGAAGATAAGTGCCAGGGAGGAGTCCAGGATCAATATTATTCTGTCCCCATTGTTAATGACCCAAGGTCATAGCTCTTTCTGTGCTTGCTCTTGAAGTGTAGCACACACAAGCATATCAAGAAAACTATCAGCGCTGTCATAGTTTTGAACCATGATCAAACTCTGTAACCAGAAGAGGAACCAGCTCCTGGTGGAACGTCCCCTCTCCATTGTGTATCAGACATTCACCCTAAGAAAGATTTTCGAAGATGCTTTATTTCAAAGTTCAGAAGAAGGGATGGATAACAGCTTCCAGATGTGTCACATCCACAGCCTCTGCCCCCAGCCCAGGGAAGGTGCCTAGTGGTACTACTGTGGAAGGATAGAGTGTATGAAAGTTAGAAGCTAGGGTATAGATGCAAAAGTAAGTTCATGCATAATTATCTTTCGCAAAAATTGTTGTACACTGTCCAGAGTTGCCTTCCCAGAAATGAGAAGAGGGGGAATAACACTTTTTTTGTGAATGTCTACTCGATATTCAGTACACTTTTCATAATCATTACCTAAATATGAAATCATTACCTCACCTCTGAGATGGCTGGAGTAAAAATATTAAATGAAAAAGAAAACCACTTTTCTAGAACCATGTGCCCAGAACACCAGGTGTCCAACTCTGGATGATTCAGTAGAACATTCGCTGCTTGTCCACCTTAGACAAGGCAGGGTGGTGTTTTGTCCACCCAACCCTGGTAATTGGTGCACATGTGTTCAGTGAGTTCTCTGGTGGGCATAGGGCCTTCAGAAAGGCCCTGGAAGTTGAGAAACCTAAGTCTTGATCTTCCTTTTTTTTTTTTTTTAATTTTTGCAGTGCTGGGGATCAAACCCAGGGCTTCATGTGTGCAAGGCCAGCACTGAGCTACATCCCCAGCTCTAAGTCCTGCTCTTTATTCTGCCACTGACCTCTAAGGCTTCTTGTCCCATCCCCTGGCCTCCTGAAGGGGACTACGTGTGCTGAGGGAAACCAGGCTCTTAACAGAGCCCTGAGTACCAGTCAACATGTTAATTCTTTAAATGCTTCCAAACATAAATTCCTGTAAGAAGTCCCAGGAACACACATGCCTTCTCCCTGAGAATTGTGAGGGTGAAGACGACCACTTGAACTTCATAAAGTCATTCAGGCTGGAGGGAATAGCAGAGAGAGCTGTCTTTCTGTGGGCAAATAGATGAAGGCCCTGAGTGAGCTTCCTCATCTCACAGGGCCCAGTAGGAGGATGATACGTGATCTTTTGGTTTTTTTGTTTTCCAAGAACTGTCCCCTTGAGTCAGAGTCAATTTCACAGAACTAAGAGAGCAAATTGATGTTTCTTAAAAGTGGCCCTTCATGCTGGAGTAACTCACTTCCCAGGACAGCAGTGAGCAGGACCATCTTTATACAGGAAAAAGCATGTTCCTCCCAAGGGCTTCCCTAGCCTGTACAAGGCCCCAGTGCAAGTGTAAAAGTTAGAAGGAAATGAAGGGGTATCTTTGAGAGCCTGATTGGAACTCAGATGTGACTGGAGGGCAGAAACCACCAAAGGGACCTGTGTTATCACAGTCCCAGGAAATAGACAGGACTCTTGGCCTCCACCTTCCTTTTCCCAGAGTAGGCACTCAGGAAAGGAAGGCTCTCACTAAATCCCATTTTTCTTCCTTCCCACTCTATCCTTTGTTGGGGGAAGAAAGAGGAGTCTCAGCAGATGTCTCTTGCCATCCTCCTGGGATCCTCCAGCAAGTACCATGCTTGAATTGATGTCATTCCACAAACACTGATGCCCCCCCAGCATTGAGCCAGGGCTGGACCTTGGATTTGACAGAGACAGGATACAGAACAGTCATCTATATTTGGGACCAAAGACATCAGTAATGATCCAAGATTCTGGTCCTCCACTCAAAGCAAGTCCAGGCAGTCAGCTACAAGCTACCAACCTTTTTTAAATATATATATTAAAGCAATGGATAGTAGATATTTTGGGTTTTGTGGGCCACAAACAGCCTCTTACCTATTCTTCTTTGTTCTTATCTGAAGACCCTTTAAAAATGTAAAAACAAATCCCTCATTGGCCACACATAAACAAGATAGGGCTGACTTTCCTTCAGGCCAAGTTTTGCCAATTCTGATGAAGAGACGAGTGGCTGCTTGCTGAGGTCTGGAGAGAGGTGGTTATTTTTTATCTGCTTGCCTTGTTTGGTTTGTTTTGTTTTAGGATGGCCATATTACTTATGGTCCAATCTGGGATACTTTTAAGACTGAATAGGGCGCTGTAAATCCTCTGGGAGCACTCAGTGTGTCAGAGCATCCGGAGCAAAGCCTACTGCATCAACACCATCAGTGCTCACCTGTGGGTCCCTTGGGCTTTTCCTAGACTTCCTAGCTCTCTCTTGGGAGACAGAGCTGAGACAGCTGAGAGAGCTCGGGGCAGTCGTGTGCCAGAATCCATTCTGTCTGGATAGTGCTTTTCTTTTGGATGAATTATAATAGAATGGTGATTTAGTCTGTGGCTTTGATATATTTTTGTTGGTTGGGTTTTCTGTTTCCTAATTGTAGGGCTGATGACCAAAAGTCTTCTGGAAATTCCAGTCAATTCACGGGTAACAGTAGCTTGTTTAAGGGGAAAGGGGTGATTAATGGTTTGGGCTTGTTTACCCCTGCCCCACTCTACCCCTGTGCCCTAAAACTAGGGCCTGGCAAAGCTAGGAGGTACTTCTTATGGACAGACTGAGGCCACATCTGTCAGCATTCCAAACTGAAGTCCCCAGGAGGAAACATCCAAGCACTCCTGGGAAATATTGCAACCACAAGGTCTCATCTTTCTCTGGTCCCGCAAGTTCAAGAGCGCTTCAGCACTAGAGGAGCCCAGAGAGGTGGGACTTCATTTCCAGAGTGCTCTGGGCCTAAAGAACCCGTTCCCTTAGTGGCCACCATGAGCTGTAGCACAGATACTCTTTTATATCTGTCACCTTCTCCTACAGGTATTTACCAATACCCAGGGCTGAAGATGGGCCTGTCAAGCTGGGAGAACCCCAGTGTTAGTGCTGGGGGGACTTAAATGGTTTGAATGAGGCCCCAATATATCAAAAGGTAACTGCACCAAAACAGGAGGGCTCATTTTGCAGCACCCATCCCTCTTTGAGAAAAGGTGTTTTCTCTGCAAAAATCCCTCCCACAGCTGTTGGCTTTTCTGCTTTAAAATGGCATGGTTTTTCTTCAGAGCCTCTCTAGGCAGAATGCACTCTCTCTTCACCAGGGCACATGGCAACAGTGAACAAGCCACACTGGGTTGGCAGGGCCTAGAAGAGAGTGTAACATGGGCACTCTTTCTGCGGCATTTCCCAGCACCGCCCACTCCCCATCTCAGCCTCTCCACCACATCCCCACAGGGAATGAGACATCTGTCCCAAGTTGCAACCTCAGCGCTGAGCAATGGGTGAACTCAGAGGGGAGTGGCTGGTGGTTTTCCAAGTCCATGAGGCAACGGATTCTGTTCTTAAACCAAATCTTACATGAACCAAGTGTGCAAAATAGAAAAGGAGTTGTCGAGCTGTGGCGGCGCTGCTCAGTGGTACGGTGCATAGGCAAGGCCCTGGGTTCAGTCCCTAGAACGAAAAAAGAAAAGAAAAGAAATTGCCCAAGGTGCAGGAAGAGGGAAGGACACCCATGCCCCTCTACAGACCCCCGAGGCATTCCTGAGCTCCAGGTGACAGCCTTTTCCTTAGCACACAGGAGTCCTGTGCTCCACCTTCCCAAGTTCACAGACAGAGCTGAAGGAAATCCTGAAGAAAAGACAAGCAAGCTCACAAACAAAACCATCATGGAGGAAACACAACTATTTAACTCTGTATTATGCAAAAGGACTCCAGTTATGCTTTGGTTTTTTTATCAAGGATAATTATCATCTTCTTTAACAAGAACATTTCACATTTGACTTGTCTATAATGACTTACATTTACAATCATAAATTAAGCTTCTTAACAAGACTTCTATTCCATGCTAATAATACATAAAAATAAATTACCAAGTGCTTCAGTGAACAAGGCTATGATTTGGGCCAAGTGCTCTAGGGAATAAAAAAAGAAAAAGACATATCAGTCTCACTATTTAGAAGCCTCCAATGGTTATTTTAATCTTTTTTTCCAAATTATACATTTTTTATTCTTTTTATTTTCCCAGACTCAGCCCAGAGAACCTTCATATTTTTTTTAAATGAAATGGCTATTTTGAGATCATCATAGATTCACATGCAGTTGTAAGAAATAATACAGACAGAGCCAAGTGCCACTGATATATCGAAGAATGCTTGAGCTGTGTGGAGTCTGGGGCTAGTATGAATAAAGGTGTTATGGAAAGCATACGTATAGGTTTGCAAGCAAATAAAATTTTCATTTTCCTAGGATGGACTCCCAAGAGTGACACTGCTAAGCGGTGTGTATAGTCCTACAAGAAACTGACAAACTTTTCCAGAGAGGCTATGCCATCTTACAGTGCCACCAAAAGTGAATTCAATTTCTCTGCATCCTGTCAGCTTTTGGTATTATCCCTAATTTTTTTTTTTTTTTTTTTTAGCAATTCTGATAGGTATGTGGAAACATTTCATTGTGATTTGAATTTGTCTTACCCTAGTTGTTATGGTGACCATTTCTTCATGTGCTCATTTGACATCTGTATATCTTTTTTGGTTAAATGTCCTTTCATGCCTTTTGCCCCTTTTCTAAGCGGATTTTTTTGGGGGGGTGGGTAGGAGATCACTATTGAGTTTTGAAGTTCTTTACATATTCTAGTCTTGTTTGAAAATACTTTTACCCAATCTGTATTGTTTTTTCATCCTTCTCACATGGACCTGTTCAGAGCTAAAGCTTTTACTCCATTATTTTTGTCTTTATAAAATTATGCTTTTGATGTGAAGTATAAGAACTCTTTGTCTAGGCCTGGATATCAAAATTTTTCTCCTGTATTTTCCTCTAAATTTTTTCTATTTTTATACTTTAAATTTCAATATGTTATCTATTTTAAGTTAAGTTTTGTATAAAGTAGGGGGTTAGGCTGCCTATGGAGGACCACTTGCTGAAGAAAATGGACATGGTAAGGCTATCCTTACTCCATGAAACTGTTCTTGCACCCTTGTCGAAAAGTAGCTGGACATATTTATATGGTTTATTTATGGGTTCTCTATTCTGTTCCAGTGATGTACATGCTTATCCCTACACATATCAAACTATCTTACTGTGGCTGTATCATAAAACCTAACGTAAATATTTCTTCCAATTTTATTATTCTTTTTCAAGATGTTTTAAACTATTATAGGATTTGCATCTTTTCATATAAATTCTAGAACGATCTTGTCTTTGCCTACCAAAGCTTTTGCTGGATTTTGATCAAAATTGCCTTAAATCCATCAATTTGGGAAGAATCGACGGCTTACTGTATTGAGTCTTCCAATTTATGAATGCAGCATGTCTTCATTTATCTAAATCATCTTTGACTTCTTTCATCTGCATTTTGGATTTTCAGCAGACAGACCCTGGGTGTAAGTATTTCATTTTATTTGGAATGACTTGAACATGAATTACGTCCTTAATTTTGGTTTCCAATGTTCATTGGTAGTAACAGAAATGTGGTTGGTTTTTGTTTGTTGATAGTATACCCTGCAAGTTTACTAAACTTACTTGCTATTCCTGAGTTGGTCTTGTTTTTTTTTCCTTTTGAGGTTGTCTATGTAGACATTTGTGGTTGAATAAGTTGAATAAGTGGTAAGAGTGTTCATTTTCACCTTGTTCCTGATCTTTTGGATGGAAAGTAGTCTTTTGCCATTAAATGTGGTGTCTACTGTAGGCTCTGTATCAAGTTGAGGAAATTTGCCTTTAGTCTTAGTTTGCTGAGGGTGTTTTTTAAAATTATGAGTGAGTGTTGGATTTTGTCAAATGTTTTTTTCTCTATTAATTGGTATGATCTTGGGATTTTTTCTTCTTTATAATGGATTACACTGATAATCAATTACCTAGTCTTGCACACCTGAAATAAATGCTCATTGGTCATGGAGTATAATTCTTTTTATACATTGCTAAATTTGACTTGAGTTTGTGGAGGATTTTTGTGTCTAAGGTAATAAGCCATATTAGCTTGGTGTTTGTATCAAATTAATACTAGCCTTGTAAAATAAAATAAGTGTTTCTTCTCTTTCTGCCTTCAGAAAAAATCATGTGAAATGTTAGCTCTTTAGATGTTTTGTGGAATTCACCATTGAAACACTCCTTTTTGGGAGCTTTTAAATTAAAAATTGAATATTTTCAGTATTGTACCTAATAACTAATATTTTAATTAATTATTTTAGTACACACTTCTACACATTTGGGCACTCAGCAAAACAATAACCAATCATAAATATTTCTACTCAGTATAATAAATTCTCTTGTCTACTGTGCAAAGTTCTTATTTTTATAGTTTAATAGCTTCAATGTTTTAAGCATGTCAGAACTTGCCTAATAAAAAACTTTCATTAAACAAAACTTAACTAGGTATGATGCACTCTGGTATTTTCTGATCTATTCCATATTATTTTTCAACTACTGGCTGTAACTCATTAAATATACTTCAAGACCCACTAAGGCACTCCAACTTCAATTTGAAAAACACTAATTTGCACATTCTCTGCTGTCCTTTCTGTAACTCTATAGTTCCATGACACTCACTTTTTTTCCTTGACTATAGTGCAAAGCCTGATAGACACTTTAAAAGTTATTTTCAAGTCATTTCCAAAGTGAACTCAAGGCAGTTTACAATAAATGCAGAGTCATTTTTAAGGCAACAGGGACAAATGAGAAATCATGTGAAATGCTTTGCTGCATTTCAGGCACAGAAACAACTATGGAAAGAAAAATAAAGTATAAAGTCTTCCAGCTATCAATCATTTAGTCTAAATAGAATGTCTCTGTACTTTGTTAAAAGGGGATCAGAGGGCGAGCATGGTGGTGGATGCCATGTGAGAGGTAGATGCCTAGAGGATCATAGTTCAAGGTGAACCTGGGCAAAAAGTTAGTGAAATCCCATCTCAACAAACAATCCAGGTGTGGTGGTACACAGCTATAATCCCACTTATGCAGGAGTAAGTAGGAAGATCCCAGTAGGGGATCCGAATTTGAAAGACTGAAAGAGGTTGCTGAGAGTAGGGGAACATCAAGGCAGAGGTAGGTAGACCACCTCTTCCACCAGCAAGAGCCTTAGCCTGCTTTATCCTCCTAGCTAGGAAGGGAGCAACCATTAAGTGCTTTCTGCTGCTTTTCTGTAATTGCAAACAACAACACAGTAACAAAAAACAACCACCATGATAGAGAAGTTTGAATCTCAGTGTCTGGAGACTGGATTTTCCAGTGCTAATCTAGGCTGCACTTTCACTCTCAGTGTTCCTTTTCCATTTCTGGGCTACCAGTCAGGATGTGACCATGTCACAAGGCCTGAGTAAAACAAGGGCAGAAGCACAGATGCTAGGCGATCATGAGGTCAGCCTCCCTGCACAGAGGCAAGCGACGAGGCCAGGGAAACTTGCCGGAAGTTGAGCAGAAAGTTCATGGCAGCAACTGGCCTATGACTGGGGCCCTGGTTACACCCTGAGCCTCCATGACCTGCTTCTCAGCCCTGAGAATGAAACAGCAGATTCAGCAGAAAGGTTAGCCCTATACCAGGGTCATTTTACATTAGCGTCCATCAATATAACTCAGAAGCAGGGAAGGAGGCAAGGAGGAGTGGAAGACAGAAGGGGAGATAGAAGAGGGCTTTGCTTCCTTCTCTCCCTTGTTGATGGTTATAGATTTGAGTCCTACATAAAATATGGGGCGGGGGTGTAGTTCCAGTGGTAGAGCACTTGCCTAGCATAAGCATGACCCTGGCTTCCGTCCTCAAGACCACAAATAGACTGGAACACTGTAGAAAAGCAGGCATGAGTCCTCACCCAGTGTTATGGTTCATGGTCTAGCTAGGAAACATCAAACCTTGAATCATCAGCTTTTAGTCAACTGCTCTCTGCAAGTTGCTATAGGTGGTGACATAAGTGTGCTGTTCTGCCCCTTGCCCTTATGGAGCTTGTGACTGGTTAGGAAGGACTAACAAATGCTCACAGACCAAGTAACAGCTATAGAGCCCAATAAGAACAACCCATGATTTTTTCTGGTGCTAATTTCAACAGAGGTTAAAAGATAGGAACACTTGATCTCTCACATTTCCTTTTTCTTTTTTTTTTTTTTTTTGGCAGCATTGGGATCTGAACTCAGAGACTTGTGCGTGCTAGGCAGGCACTCGTATTGCTTGAGCCACTCCAACCCCCTGATCTCTCACATTGTGTCCAGTATTATGCTGCTGCTAGCACTGTGTCAGATCCACTGGGAGAATGCACAATGGTGAACGTTTAGAACAATCACTTAGCTTTCTAGTTGGCATGGTGAATTTGATCTGATCTGGTGGAATCTGAAGAATAAGGTCCCTCATAAACCCTCAAAAACGTGAAGGTGATAATGACATAATCCATCACAAATGGAGCTCCCCTGGGTAAGCACCTGTTTGTATCTCTTAGGGGTTCTCCATTGGCATTTGAATGGTACAAGCCATTGTCATGCAAAATTGTCCTGCAAGACAGGGTCAGTAATACAACCTCTTGGTACAAGTGAAAAATCTGTTTGTTCCTTGTTCTTCTCTCATTAGGCACGATGCATGTCTAGACCAGTTAACAAGTATTCTGCTGATTAGCAGCATTCAAACCAGCGCAGACAGCCCTATCCCTGCTGCTGGAGCCAGGGCCGAAACACACTGCAGAACTCACAAGTACCAC